GCAGATCTACGTTTTTTTGATGAGTCAATGATCGGGAATGATAAAAGACAATCAACATTTCATATGCCCAAAAGTTAAATTGTATTTATCCTGTTCACTGGCCCAAACTTAAAATTCTCCTATCAAATAAAGCTTTCATAGATTACCCCCCTTCCCTGCCACAAATAAGTGTTAGGAACAAATGAAGGATAAGAGTTGGGTTTTAAACTGCACTTTATTTGCTACTATAATATGCTATTTTTTTAACTGATCAACCACAAGCATGCAACAAGTTCTCTGAAAGGAACTGCTTCTACAACTCATTGTATAGCAATAGGAAAATAATAAAGGTCACTCAATTTGGAGTTCTCTCCTTTTTTATAGCACTTCTAAGCAGTGTGTAACACACCACAGAGGTAGGAAAGACCATCTTTAATAAATTATCTTAATTGCGGAGAATTTCTGAAAAGAAAACTGACAAAATGCTAAACCATGCCTCTGATGCGTCTCAAAGGACCACAGATCCATTGGCTCCTTATTCGAAGAATTAAACCCCCGGAATGGAGTGTTCGAGCTTTTGCAGGGTTCTTGATAACAAGGATCCACCAGGGCTCCGCACAACTGCACTAAGCAAGCCTTCTACCACTCTCATTTGCCGATTCTTTGGACCACCCAGTCCTGCTGGCAGAGAGGGCAGCGATTGTTCTGTTTCACCCACAGGGACATGCAGCAGTTGTGGAAGGAATGATTACACTCTCCCCAGACCACTGAAAGAAGAAGAGTTGACATTATATATTTCAATTTAAATTACTAAACTCAAAACTATAGCTTATTTTATATTAAGAATAATATTCATGGAGCTGCGTGTGATGGCGCAAGCCTGTAGTCCCAGCCACTCTGGAGGATGTGGCGGGAGGCTCGCCTGAGCCCAGGAGTTCGAGGTTGCAGTGAGCTATGATCGTGCCACTGCACTCCAGCCTGGGAGATAGAGACCCTGTCTTTACAAAAAAAATTTTAAAATATACTAAAAAAAACCCACAAAAAAACAAAAACATGGTTCGTAATCTTGAAAAAATATGGTTAATTGGCCAAAGTAATTTTTTACTACCTACAAAGACATAGAAACTTATTAATAAATGTGTAAGTTACATTTAAGACATGAGATAAGTCACTGTTTAGGGGACTTTCCATCCTTGTTCTACAGCATGTGGGTGATGTGATGACCCTTGGTTCCCATATAGCACCACATGCTGTCTTCCTGAAGTTTGGAGATTAAAGGACTCGAACCTTCCTTAGATCCCAGACCTTCTCAGTCATGGACCAACCTTAGAGATCTTTTGGGCTTTATTTTATTAAGAAATGTCCTCCTGATTTTAATTTATCAAGATAAAATGAGTTTTAAATGTTCTCAGTTCATAGTAGGCTATTATAAACATATGACATGCTTCTAAACATTATCAGTTGTACACCTACTGAGCTGTTTTCCAGAAGTGATAAATTGTGTTAAATCATAAATAAGCAGTGCAATTCCTCATGTGACAATGAAATTTTCAGAGTGGCTGGCTAGAAAACGGTCTCTTTGTGATCAAAGTGGCCTGCCCCTCACAAAACCCAGATCAGTATTTTGGGTGAAGCATGAAAGAAAAATTTTAAACCAAGGCAAATCACCCACAATCTGGAATACAATCTCAAACCTGGGCTTCATTTGCCCCTTGTTTGACAAGATTAAACGAAAGAAACAAGGGGGGGGGGAATACTTCCTATGAAAATTGGCTGTAGAATATGAGAGGCAATGGGAAAAAAATTCTAAGTGTTTCAGGAGGAAGAAACAGGATTTGATCAAAACTGCATACATCATCAAGAAGCTGTATATAAATCATGCAAAAAAGTACAAAGTTAATCTTTTGTTTTAGAAAAATCTATAAGAACTTTTATATAGCAATCTAGAAGTGATCACCTAAAGAACTAGGACATAAAAAACTTTGAATTGCTTAAAATATTTAGTCTAAGACAACTTTTTTAGTCTAAAACTATAAAGAAAATTTAATTTATTTCAATACACAAACCACATTCCAAAAAAAGACTTGAGCTTAGAATTTTTCCTACCTTACCTGAAAAGTTAAATGGTGTATCATAAAAGTATTGAAAACTGAAATGCTTTATTAGAACCCAAATTGACCTATAATATAGCCAAATAATGTTTTGACAAATTTCTCATTTTATAATTTTCTTAAAAGAAGATAATTACTTCTTTTCTCATTACCAAAATGTTTATTATGACCTTGTCCGGACCATATATCCAGTTCATCTTGATTACAGCTATAAAAGGTCTTGCAGATTCATTCCATTAAAGCTTTTTGAGAATCAACACATTTTATATTAATAATGGATCACTGCTTTACAGTTTATTTTTGTGTATTGATAAAGTCAATCTTAATTGCAAATTCAAACAACCCCACTGAGAGAAAACCTTCAGTTGAAAAAGCAAGAGAACAAAATTACAACATACCAACACAATCTTCTTGTTTGTTTTCAGCTTGACATCTAAGACAGGCATCTAAAAGTAAACAAATAGCAATTCTCATTCTGATGCTCAGAATGCAACTTTTAAAATTCAGACACTTCAAAGTAAAAAAAAAAGCCCTTAAGCGTTAGAGATGGAGATAAAAGACTCACACAATTAATTTCTCATCTGCACATAACTATTTAAAGAGGAATAAAATACAAGGCATTCTACTGATTTACTTACGACCAGGAGCAATTTCACAAGGGTTAACAAACCCTCTATTTTTACAAGCTCTGATGAAAAGATGCCTTGACAGTGCCAGTAGAGAAAACCACTAGAGAAAAACATGCCATACTCCACTACATTAGCAGTTACTGTAAGATCACTGGGCATGCTCAGAGGCAGTTTATTTTCAAGACACTCTTTTAAATATGTCATGCACATATATTGGTATTTGTTTACATACACATAAAGAAAATCTAGAATACCCAAGAGACCAATAATAAAGTTTACTGGGCGGAGTTGGAATGGGAAGGAGAGTTTTTGCCGTATACCTTCTTAAATTTTTAACTATGTGGCTGTATAACCTATACAAAAATTAAATTGAAAAAAATTTGATTCTTTCATAAACAAGTTTTCTTGAGTCACCCATACTTATTGACGAAGAAGTTTTTCTTTGGCAACTCATACAAAGTAACCTGTTACTTTCTTCCCTAAGACACTTGACAGTTCCTTTAAAATAAACAATTTTGTATGCTCCCAATAGGTCACTACCGACAGTCATCCAAACAAGACTGGTGAAAGGCAGTGAGATGTATTAATAGAAGGGAAAGCAGGGCTCTGGAGCCAGGCAGAGCTGGAGTCAGGTCTCACTTCACTGGCATTTACTAGTTCCATGGCCTTAGACCAATTATGAACCTCAATTCCCTCATTTGTTTAAAAAAAAAAAAAAAGGAATACTATCAGGAGGTATTTATATATTAAAGGAGAATGATACATACTTGTGAGAATTTATAGATAGAATAAATACTAGATACCCCTAAATACTAGGTTTTTTTCAAGAAAATCCTCCCTTTACAGATAAGTCTGAGCCCAAAGCATCTACCCAACCATGGCAAAGTATTTTAATAAATTACTTGGGTGTAAATACTAAGAATGGGAACCTAAAGGGTATATGAGAAGTTTTCAAAATTCAATCTATAGTACTGTTAGCTTAATGAAGGAGGTAATATAGAATATTTTAGGGACCAAAAATGGATTCATTCACTAGCTAGAAGAGGAGTCAGGGTCAGGTAAAAGGAAATTCTAACCAACAGAAAAAAAACCCCAGCTTTTAACACAAACAGGAGAAAAATAATTCTGTAAAAATAGAAACACAGTGGAGTTGAGGCCTGCTTCTCCTCTTACACTGGATTATGCTCAGGCATTTGTTTGCTCCTCTCCCCATGCCCTTACCTTTAAAAAAACACCACTGCCCTGCTCTCTTCAGTGTGGATTAAAAACAACCACTGTCTCCTGTGGCTTTCTTCAATTCCACAATTACTGAGCATCTACTCTGTGCGTGGAGTTATGCACTGGGGACACCAAAATGACCAAGGATGGATCCCAAGTAGTTCACCAGCAAATGGGGAGGTAGACAAGTAAACAACTATTAGGTCATTAAACAGGAAATGTCCAATTTTGCAACAAAAGTTTAGCTTATTGTATCTCAAACAAGAAGCAGTAAAATTAATTAAAGTATATGCCTAAATTATTGACACACTTTTACTATCTTAATAGTAGCTTGTTTATGCTAGCAGCGAAGAAGCCTGGAAAGCGAGTGGTGATTAAATCTGGAAACATGTTTTCCACAGCTTGTCGAGAATTGAATATTTTTTCTTGCAAGAAGTGGTCCAAAGCCTAGGAGTGGTAGTCAGTTAGTGCAAAGTCTGGTGAATACGGTGGATGACAGAGAGTTTCCAAGTCCAGTGTTGTTTGTGGGACATGTGGTCAAGCATTGTCTTGCAAGAGGATTGGTGTGTCTCTATTGACCAATCTTGGCTGCTTAATTGCAAGCATCCTCATCATTTCGTCCAGATGATTACAGTAGACATCTGCTGTAACCGACTGACCAGGTTTCATGAAGCTGTAGGGCATAAAACCAGTGCTGGACCACCAGACACCATTAGCTTTTTTTTGATGATTATTCAGTTTTAGACTGTGTTTCTTTTCAGCACTTCATCTTTATCCAACCATTTTGCCAAACGCTTGTGATTGTCAAAAAGAATACATTTTTTACCACATGTAACAACATGGTGTGGAAATGTTTCACCTTTATGTCATGACAGCAAAGAAAGGCAAGCTTCCAGACAATTGCTCTGCTGATGCTCATTTAATTCATGCAGTACCCATCTATCCAGCTTCTCTACCTTGCCCATTTGTTTCAAATGGTCCAATATTGTTGGAATAGTAACGTCAAACATTGCTGCTAAATTCACGTGTAGCTTGAGATGGATTCACTTCCACCACAGCTTTTAGCTCATCATTATCCACCTTGGTCTCAGGTCACTGACATGGCTCATTTTCAAGATTAAAATCACCAGAATGGAAGTTCTCAAACCACTGATGTACTGTGTGTTCATTAGCCACAACCTTCCTAAACACTTTGTTGGTATTTTGAACTGTCTGCACCACATTGGTTCCATGATGGAACTCATGTTTGAAAATAATGTGAATTTGTGACTTATTCGTGGTTTCACAAAAATTGCTCTAAAAAAACTTGAAAGATAATCACAAGCCAAACCATGCATTTGAAAGAATGAGGATGTACTTTCACAATAAAAATAAAACAAGAAGTGTCAAAGTGAAATGTCAGAGATATCAACTGTCAAACTTAGTTCTTAAGGAAATCGGACATTTCATACTTAATACCCTAATAGATATCCTAAGGATTGTGATGTAACAGTGAAGACATGCTACCTGTACCTGGCACTAGCTCTGTGCAATCACAGAATTTTTAGAATATTAGGAGTTGGTGATCCTAACTGCCTCTTTTACAAATTAGAAAATTAAGGCTCCAAAAAGTTATGTGAAATGTCTAAGTTAACATACCATCATGCAGGCTATACAACTAACATATAGTCATACTGGCTATTATAATTTGGCTACACTAACAAACCTCTTCTCTTCTTTCTCATCAGCTCCTGTGCCGTGCGCTCCTTTCAGAATGAAAGGAGGAGAGTGGAAACCAAGAGTATTACCCACATTTGAATGGACTGATAGGCAAATCTTGCAGCAAAAAGTATAATAAATCATTTAAGTGTGTAACATAAATTCCAAATATTAAGGAATAGGAACTCAGTGGGTTCGTACTGCAGAATCTACAAGTCTCTGAATTATACTTACAGATTTGATTTATATTCTTTATCAAAAACTGAGCCAAATACAAATTATCCTAAAATTTCAGATAAAAGAAAAAAATTCTTTTAATGACATTCCTAGCATCTAAAACAGCATATTTCTAAGAAGTATAGTATTAATACCTTTCAGAAGGATGCTATGGTAAGGACCGGGAAGTCTGAAAAGCAAATATCCTTTTGCCGTCACCTGACCACTATGTGAGTTTTAACACCTTACAAATAAAATACAAAGGTCTAGCCCAGAATACTTTCCTGAACCCAAAGTACAGCTGTTATAAATATGCAATATTAATCTGCAGTAGCAGAATACTTACTATAATTAGAA